CGATTTTGCTAGCAAGATCTTGTCGAGAACTTTCCATCCTTCAACTGGTCCTTCACAATCCACGATCCAGATCTCCGTGCCCATGAAACCTTCCAGAAAACGGACCGCATTCGCTGGGGCAACAATACTCTCAATACTCCCATCACAATCCAATATGACGCCCTGACCGTCCGCGGAAGGCCTGACGACGTTCTCACGCTCAAGCTCTTGCAAAAAACGTGTGCGCGTGTGCGCCTCTTCATCTGCAATATAATATAAGGAGAGATGCGGGAAAGCAGGAGGATGGGGGGTGCCCGCAGCGCCAAGCGCGGCACGTAGTCCGACGAGCTCGGGCGACGGCGCTAATGCGACATAAATGGAACGAAAATAGTGTTCTCCCGAGACGACGCGCGCGAAGCGTACAGGTACGACGGTTTGGCCGAGCGGTACCGCCTCGCGAAGAGTGAGCAGAGCCGAATCGTGGACGTGGACGTGGACAGCGCGAGTTGTCCCTGGGGGGAAGTACTCCGATGGCGGTTGAATGGTCGCGAGCGTGACGTGCGGGTGGAAGCGTGGGAAGGAGTGTCGCGCGCCGGGCTCGGGGTGGCGGTCCATGAATCGTTGGAGAAGTGTGGTTTCGGTTTCGGAGGGCACGAGCCAAAGTGAGATTCCTGCTTCCGGTATAGTAGGGACAAAATGAGTGGGGTGTGCAGAACGTTTTTTTCGACGCGACACGTACCCATTATTGTTATTGTTCTCTAATGATATGTGCGTGCGAGGTGCTAGCGTAGCGTATAAATCTCTGGTCACAGTAGGGCAGTAGGGGGGGAGCTTTAGACCCATCTCTCTAAGCCCTTTATATGGTCAGTCATTCCGGATCTCTGTGGGAGAGAAACCCTTTCATCAAGGGTCAAGGATAACACCACAATCAAATTGATGGAAAATGGCAGAAAGGAACACACTGGGTCAACGTTACAATTGTACACACAATGAAAGTAGAGGAGGACCAATTATTGACTTTTACGACACCAATATTTATTTAGGGGAAACGTGGATTTAGGCAGCGGTTGCCTCTGGCTCTGGAGATGTCGTCGGATGAAGCTTGAGGCTGATCCAACTCTCTCCCACGCCAGCTCCATCGTTACTCTCAACGTCAGCCTCTGAACCATTTTCAGACCCATCGCGTTCATGTTCTGAGGTCTGTGGTGAATCACTGCATCGACTTCTTTTCCCACACCTGCAGGAGCTCCGGGAGAAGGTACAATAGGCGGTGCGGAAGCCCGTGGGCTTTCTAGCGCAGCAGCCTGTGTGGAAGTTTGAGATAGCGTCCTGTGAACGGAAAGGAGGAAATATGGGATGCTTATGATGCATCCAGCAGAGCGCCAGGAAGATGTGACACAATGAAACTTGTTACGGCTGTGAAAAAAGAGAGATAAAATGGATAGGTATCAGCAAAGGTCGAGTTGAAACGAGGAAACGGGGAAACTTACCTCCGGATCCAACTGCATAACGGCCACCACGCATGCGATCAAAAGCCGACCAAACATTGAGCCGCAGACCACAGAATGAGACTGATCGCACTCGACCATAGCTGACGATTTGGACGACATCACTAACGAAAGCATCCACCTTCTGGGCCTTGCGCTGGAAATTATAGCCCGGTCCCTCCAGCGTAAGCTCCCATGCCGGTCCATAAGCCAGCTTTTCTGAGGGTGTCCACGACTTCGTGTACTCTTTGGGATCGTAATCCAGCAGGCGACGACCAGCGAACGGTGGGATATCAAGGGTGCCAACTTCAAGACTGACAACGCTAATATCATTCATCCCTTCAGCACCGCCAGTTGCGGCGGCGATGCGCACTTCACGGCGAAGAACGTCAACCGCGCGCAGGGTTGCAGCCGCGCTCATCGAACTCGGTCCCAAGAAAGGCAGCCCGACACGTGCGTCGACCGCTGGAACGCATACAACGATGCTTTTCCTTCCCTTTCCGTTCTTGATGGTATCACGTGTACGTGAAGGGGAGTTGCGCATGAGGGGCAGAAGAGCCTGAATGATTTGAAGAGGCGTGATGTGCGTAGCATTAAAGTACTTGAGATATTCGCTCTGCAGCTGAACGTGTTCCAGCGGAGTGAGGGTGGAATACTGAGAGAGTCCAAGAAGAGACACGACAGAGTGGACAAAGGGATGAGTTGCAGGAGATGCGTGCGGATCACCATGGATGTTGATTGGGAACCTGTGAGATAGAGTAGAGGCCAGCGAACGAAGGAAAATGGGAATCGTGGCAGGCTATCACGATGTCAGGTAACGAACGAGCACCTGAGTAACAAGGCGCACCTCGAAAGGATCAAGGACGAGTGCCTTGACATAGCCCTTGCCTGCGCGTTCGAGCTCGTCCACGGCCTCAGGGGTGGTGACACTGGTGATAATTATGAACCCTTTCTTTTCAAGGGCGAGGATTAGGGGAAGTGCCACTGGATGATCGCCCCCAAGAACGACTGCAGATTAGGCCATGAGATCAATATCCGACCGAGATTACAGTTAATGAATGGGTTGCATACCTACAACCTGCCTTCGCTCGTGGCCTGCCGTGTGATACCTTTTGTGTAGTCTGAACTGTGTCCTGGCCAGATAGGCATTGTAGCCAACCAGCAACCCAACCCCCGCCACGCTGACGCCTAAGCCGGTTGCCTTCCACGGATTCTCGGCAGCCCAATCTGTCACGTCGTCGAGGAGGGACCTAGGCAGTGGTGGAGGAGGTGGTGGAGGAGGTGGAGGCACCTCGAAGTCCCCCAGCATCGGCAAGCGTATCTCTGGGATGGGAGGGCCGAATCTCGAGACATCTGCCCACAGCCTATTCAACGCCTCCTGAATGTTGGGCATTTCTGCCTTGACTGAGGAGGCGGACACATAAATATAGTCCTCAGCCGACTCGAGATACTCTTGGATACCCTCTAAGAGAGGCATCGAGACCACTACGTGAGGAATAGAAGGGCTCTGAATACCAGTCGCAAGGGCAACAAGGGTAAGTAAAGTTAAGTGGTTGGTGTGTGTGATAAGCTAAGCTAAGCGCTGACATGCATGACATGCAGCCTACTCAAAACATTTCTCAAAGTCACCGTCCCCATCCTGTCTAGCGTACCACTGGCTCTCCACGAATGCGTTCAACTGACACAATCCTGAAATACCACCGCAAAACTCTAAGGGCTGCACGGCGTCATTAATCAGAATCCTCACAAACGGTCCCGTCGCCAACAGGTCGGAGCCCGTGCATTCAAGCTTCTCGACGACCATCCTACCGCTAAATGGTACCATGCTTGACAAGTACCACGTTCTTCGTGGGCTTGGGTTAACTGGGTCGAGTTTCCGGCCTGGTAGGCGATGTTGTCGGAACAGGCCTAACGCCGCAAAAATGGCAACCATTGCGTTATCATGAGAGAAGTCAGCATATAGCGCGCGATCCAGAGGGAAGGTTTCTGGTGAACTATCCAGCGTGCGGTTTGTTTGGGTGTTATCCCGAATAGGTTGCCTGCGTAGACGAGCGAGGAGCTCGTTCACATATCCCACCCCTTGCACACGACCAAGATTTCCTCCATAACTATAAATGTCGCTGGAATTAACCAACAGCAAGGAAGCTAGAAGCAACCTACCCATTACCATAGAACTTATCGAGATCTCCAAAGTATTCATAACCTTTGAAGTCTTCCCAAGTGAATAAGCCGCAAAAAGGACTTGGCGCCATCGTAACCTGGGAGTGGAAGGCGCACAGTGACATTAGGTTGTGGGTATCTTCGTCGGTCAAATCAGCACCAGGCGCAGCTAGATTGAGTCGCTTCGTGATAGATGGCGCAAATATCGCAAGCCATTTCCCACTTTCCGCGTTTCCCTTTCCCGAATTAGGACACATGTTATCATCCAATGTGAGATTCCCCTCGTAGACCATGAGAAAAATTTGACGGGGAACTGGAAGAATTGTGCTTACTGATTCAGGGAGGACGAGATCTACTCTTGCTTTGATCGTGTGTCCAGCTGAGTTGAAACCTGAAATTAAACTTTCATGAGAGGAGTGAATGCAAGAGTGTGGTACGAAGCAGACCTGCAGTCCAATTAGCAGCGGAATCTATCACGCGCTGCGAGCTTGCTGCCCTGACAAATGGTGGACTGTCCTCTGTCACAATGTGGGCATATCTGTTAAAAGCGACGACGCCAGCCTCATACGACCTTGAAAGGATCAGAATCCTCCCAGAAAACGATAGAGCTGCTCACTGCTTGGCGCCAAATGGGAGCATGTCATCCGCCCCGAAATTCCACGTGAAGTTCCTGAGGAAGGTAAGATAGTCTTCTTTGTAGTCCTTGATATTCTGTAGTTTATCTACAGCAACTTTGTACTTTGTGCCGGCACTGCTGGTTGGCCATCGTGCGCCATGCCGTTGCAACTGACGCTCGTCGGCGACAAATTGGGCAAGAGAGAGTCCTACATACCACATTTACCTGAAGTAAGGTATTCAACGTGAATGACAAACATAGATAGAGGTATAGTCACCTGAGATATGGCGCACCTGGAGGGTGGAGGAACATAATCCGCAGTGGGAATATAAGGTGCATACTGTGCCCACGTCCGCAACACGCTCTCAGGAAACCCAATATTGGGAACATGATCTACTGGCACTGTGGTGGATGCTTCTGACAACAATAACGTTGGCCTTTGGTGTGGAGTGATCTTTGACCACAACAACCAAAGAAGAGGCGCGAGAACGAAGATCTGCCAATGGGGAATGCAGCAACTGTGTTGGGTCCGATTTCTTGTCCGTGAGACTTCATCGATAGACCACCGCGATGAATGATCGACAAGGTCTGGTCTCTCCGTGACAACTTCTTTAGCCATTCAATTTAGGTAGATATTCTGAAACAATGGCTTATAGGGTCAGGTATCAGGTATTTCTTGATGGCTATTTCTTGATGGAACGCTCGGTTTGGTCTATCGGTGTCGATTTACGGGAGCAATACAAGTTGTTACTACTTAAGGCGCTATAGCCAAGTGGTTACGGCGACAGATTAGAATCACGTTGGATCATCTGTTTCCCTTCGGGAGCGCAGGTTCGAGTCCTGCTGGCGTCGAAGTTTCAATTTTGTCCATTTCCATTTTGATCATGGTGCTCAATGAGTTGACCACCCAGGTATGCCTCGCTTTTTTTCTTATTGTGCATGGTCTGCATAAAGTCGAAGTTGAACAGCGGGATTCCTAATTGTTTACTACTCTCAACCTCAATGAAGGAAAGAAGTATTTTTGATTACTGCAGCAATGTCTACTCCCGAAGGCGAAAATACTTCCCGTAACAGGCGAGAAAACCGACGGGCACAATGATCACCACGTAAAAAAAAGAATCACGCCGTCTAGACAAACTCTTTTCCAATGCCTACGCAGCAATTAATGTAGAATAGGTTTTTTGAAGCAATTATGAATTTGCGAGCTCCTTCGCAAGCTGCTCCGCCTTGGCCTTCACGTCCTCGATTGTGCCAGACATGTAGAATGCGGACTCGGGAAGCGAATCGTGTTGGCCAGAGAGAATCTCCTTGAACGAACGGACTGTGTCCTTCAGTGGAACAAGCTTCCCCTCATACCCAGTGAAAACTTGAGCAACCTGGAAAGGTTGCGACATGAAACGCTGGATCTTACGAGCACGCTCGACCTGAAGGTAATAGGATTATTCCAAACCCATGGAAAAGAGCATACTTATACCCACGGTCAGTTTGTCTTCCTCGGATAACTCGTCCATACCCAAGATAGCAATGATATCTTGAAGTGACTTGTAGTCTTGGAGAATCTTCTGGACGGCAGTTGCGACCTCGTAGTGCTCCTTGCCAACCTGCACACAAAGTACTATTAGTGGGTTTCGTTCCTTTGAATGTAAGGCGCATACAATACGTGGGTCCAGCATGCGCGATTTCGAGTCCAGAGGATCAACAGCAGGATAAATACCAAGCTCGGCGATCGAGCGAGACAACACAGTAGTAGCATCCAAATGGGCGAATGTCGTAGCAGGGGCGGGATCCGTCAAATCGTCAGCTGGGACGTACACGGCCTGTACAGAAGTGATGGAACCCTTCTTGGTTGTAGTAATACGTTCCTGCCTGGAGGAGAGATGAAAACAGTGACTGCACGAACAAATGACGTTGACTTACATGCCACCCATGTCTGTCGAAAGCGTGGGCTGGTAACCGACGGCAGAGGGGATACGACCGAGAAGGGCGGACACCTCTGAACCAGCCTGGGTGAAGCGGAAGATGTTATCAATGAATAACAGCACGTCCTGTCCCTCCTCGTCACGGAAGTACTCAGCAATTGTGAGACCGGTTAAGGCAACACGAGCACGGGCACCCGGGGGCTCATTCATCTGGCCGAAGACCAGAGCGACCTTGGAATCACCCTCGAGGTTGATGACACCAGTCTCAATCATTTCATGGTACAGGTCATTGCCCTCACGGGTACGCTCACCCACACCTATAAAATCACGCTCACGTGATGAGTTACGGAGATACCGGCTCTTTCAAAAACATACCACAGAAAATTGAGAAACCACCGTGTGCCTTTGCGACATTGTTAATGAGTTCCTGAATCAACACCGTCTTGCCGACGCCAGCACCGCCGAAAAGGCCAATCTTGCCACCACGAGCATAGGGAGCGAGAAGGTCCACGACCTTAATGCCAGTCTCAAGTACTTCGGCAGTTGTTGACTGGTCGACGAAGGCTGGTGGGTCGGCGTGGATTGGCTTGCGAGCAACACCCTTGATGGGACCACGCTCATCAATGGGTTCGCCAATGACGTTCATGATACGACCGAGAGTATCGCGGCCGACGGGGATTTGAATGGGGGAACCAGTGTCAATAACCTTCTGACCACGAACGAGACCCTCAGTACCATCCATGGCGATGGTACGGACTGAGTTCTCGCCCAAATGGGAAGCACCTCAAGGACGAGGCGACCACCACGGAAATCTTGAACTTCTAGGGCATTGAGAATTGGGGGCAGGTCGTCTGTCTCGAACTGAACATCGACGACGGCACCAATGACTGTCTTAACGTGACCGACGGCAACCTTTGACTCTGTCGCATACGAGCGGGCTGCACGGAAAATTACGTGTCAGTTAAGATTTTGGGGGAGAGCAAAAAAAAGAGATAATGTTGCCTCAAAACGTGTCGAGACAGATGGAAATAGCTTACTGGGAGTTGAGGGCGCAAAGCGCGTCGGGCGCAGGCTGGACTGTGTCCCAGCAGAGGTAGAAAGTGCAGCCCTTGCGAGGATGGGGGAAGCAGAGGTTGAGAAGAGAGCATTGGTTCGCTTCGCACTGTTCACCGCTCTGCGGGAAAGACGAGTGACGCCGCGAGAAGAAGTGAGCATCGTGTTAGACAGCGATGGCGACAACAAGAAGAACAAACGGTGACGGAGAAGAAGTGTGGATATATTATGCGTTGGCGAAAGAATTCGGAACAGAGTATGATTTTTAATATTTGGACTCAGATTCAACTCCGAAACTGTACCCGACTACGCCCGATTGGACGAGGCTATGTGAGAAGAACATGATTGGGCGGTCAAATCAAATTATTATTATTATTTTATTATTTGGCTGAGAGCTGAGAGCTGAGAGCTGGAGAACATTGCAATAACCTGTTCAAAGATTGAATGAACATGCAATGTGGAAGGTGGAAGAAGAAAATAATAAATGGAAATGTGGAATGACATCATGCGTAGCCTCTCGCGCGCTAAATACTATCGCCTCTCGCGCCTCCCGACGCGTAGTGAAAGGGACTCATCCATGCCTACTCTCATCCCCCCTCGTTCCATACTGAGGTCACATTGTCCACCTCTGCGAGTCGGCGTTCATTCTCGACAGTTTCCTCATAGCCTTCGCTTCCTATCCGCCTCGTCAACGTCGACACCAAATGATTCCAATCGGTTTCTGCGTTATGGCAGTAAGGCAGCCAAGTACTCAGCCTTCACTTGTTTTTCTGCCGTTCTCGGCCTTTCTGTCGTTGTTGGAGGGGTGTTCATCCATGATGCTTTCACATACTCAAACCGACACATAGACCGTGTCCCTGTGTCACCGCTGGCACTGCATCCTGAATGTGGTGGGCCGAAAAACCTTCCAGTTGCAAGCGTACTCGTAGGGGATGAAGATGATGGTGTCCCTGTAGCTGTCAAGGATAAGCCAAGACTGGTGATAGTTGGCGGAGGCTGGGGTGTACGTCAGTGTTTCTTTACACACAGATTCCTCTAACATAGAACTCCCTAGGCCGTCAGCGCGCTTCAGGCCATCCATCCCGGTGACTACCACGTGACTGTCGTTTCACCTGATACATTTACTACATTTACTCCGCTTTTACCTTGTAAGTCTACTATCACTATAGGACTTGCTTTACCTGATAAGACTCGAACTGCTGTAGCTGCGGCCGTTGGTACAGTTTCCGTTCGTTCCCTCGTCGAGTCACTACGAAAGATCATAGCACGTTTGCATGGGCAACTCATTAATGGACGAGCCGTTGATCTTGTCATGACTGATCGTCTACTTGAGATTGAGACGGTCTCCACAAGTGGAGAGAGGCACAATCTTTATCTCCCGTACGGTAGCTGTCGTTGCTATAACTTCACTTAACTCACTTGTCCCGTTCAGGTATGACAAACTTGTTATAGCTGTCGGATCAGTATCCAGCACCCATGGCGTTCCCGGCCTTGAACATTGTTTCCAACTTAAAACGGTTGCAGACGCGCAATCCATACGCCGTCGCATTTTAGGTTGGTGCTCTCTCTCCCCAGAACGTACCAGCTCAGCCGTTCATACCGTAGATAACTTCGAGATTGCATCGCTCCCGTCAACCTCAGAAGAAGAGCGCAAGCGGTTACTTAGCTTTGTGGTTTGCGGCGGTGGTCCAACTGGTGTTGAAACCGCGGCGGTGTGTCACTCTCTGCTCACCTGTAACCGTTTGCTCATATACCTTTAAGGAGATCTACGATCTGTGCCAGGAAGATATTATAAACTACGTGGGTTCCAATCTTCCATATCCTTTATATGTGAGCAATGCCGTGACGGGTTTCGTAGTTCCCAAAGTTGTGCCGGAAAGATGTCTCTATTCATGTTGTTCAGTCCAGGGAGCATATTTTGAATACAGTGCGCTTCAAACCAAGGTTTTGGCTTTTTTGATTAATTTCTCCAATACAGTACTCCGAAGCGATCTCGAAATTTGCGGAGGACAAGTTTCAGCGCGACGATGTAGAACTGGTTACTTCCGCACGGTTGGTTCCTCTCTGTCCCTACCCAATTAGCTCTGAATAATAGCCCTCCTAGTGTCAGGGAAGTGCACCCCGATCACGTTGTTTACACCACTAGAGATCCACAAACAGGAGAAATTGCCGAACACACCATTCCCACAAATTTCGTACTATGGTCAACTGGGATAGCCATGAACCCATTTACCGCTCGTGTATCAAGTCTTCTGCCGAATCAAGTTCATAAAAAGGCTATTGAGGTCGACGCACATCTCCGTGTTAAGGGTGCCCCTCTCGGGGATGTATATGCTATTGGAGATTGTACTACGGTGATTATGATACTGCCAACAAAAACATAAGCTGACATACTTTATAGATCGAGACTTCGGTGGTGTCACACTTATTAGAGCTCGTTGAAGAGGCGGATCGCAACCAAGATGGTAAGATTGATTTCGACGAGTGGGAGATCATGGGTAAGCCACCATCCATGAAATTACTGTGTAATCAACCACGCGAAACCAGTTAAACGGATCAAGAAGAAAATACCCATGGCCGCTAGTCACCTGAAGAAAGTTCGTATCTCGCAAGTCAATCTATATCGCTGCTTACGCGGTGGTTCCAGGTTCGGGCCTTGTTTGACCTTTATGACTCGGATGCCGACAACAAGCTAAACCTCAATGAACTTGCTGTGCTTTTGCAAGAGATTGGCAATAAAATTACTGCACTTCCTGCCGTAAGTGGATCACATGCATTGCTCATAATTCCACGAGTCGATCTCTTTGTAGACTGCTCAAGTGGCTTCCCAACAAGGCAAATACCTTGGCCATAAGCTCCATCTCCTCGCCGCCAAACGCG